AGTTGAAACTACGGTCAAAAGTCACGACTCAGAGAGGAAACCGGCCTTTCTGATTATGTTGGAGCCTTCGGGGCATCTGTTAATTATATAGGGGGAATAACACTTTGTACCCTCAAATCATTTTAAAATTTAATTTGTACCATAAAAATAAAAATATTTTTAGTGTTACCCTCAATCATACGACAAGGTAGCAGTGTGGTTGAAAATCAGACACATGTTGTTTTGTTCGACGATTTTTTCTTTCATAATTTTCTATTTTTGTGCACAATTATACTCGAGATAACTTGTGCACGAAGGTACGATATAATGTAAATAATTTTGAGAAGGATAGTACTGATCATTGGATAAATCTATTAAAAATTGTTGGATATATTTATTGAAATTTACCTTGTTTTATATTATAGACTATCAATAATCCGTATCTGAAAACATAGTGTGCCATAAAATTTGAGAGTCTAAAAACTCGATTTTACCATATGAAATAGTAATTTTTTTCTTTTTTTAATTACATAATTTAAAATTTATTTTGACCCACTATTTTTTAAATCAAAATTCCACAAAAAATTTTCAAAATATATGACATCAAAAAAAATAACAACATGTGTACACTATTGTATATGAACGATGTTTGAAATAAAAAAAAAATATATTGAACCACAAATTAATCAAAAAACTACATAATTAGAGAAATTGACAGAAAAAATATGTGTGGATAAAATTTAAATGCTTAGCTCACTTATTATATGTATTACTCAATTTTAAATATTTAACATGAGATTTCTATACCCAATTTTATTAAAACATATCACGTTATTCTCTTTTTATATAATTGCGAGTAATGTGAGAGTGTTATTATGTTGAGGTACAAAGTGAGAAACTAGAAAAGATATTTATTTTCATTTTTTCCTTGGGTTTTCTAGGTTTGTGAATTGATAGTGAACAATTTCTTGAGGCCTTAAATGAATTGAATTGACCATCATGTATTTTCTCGTGTGTTCATAAAAAATAAATAAATAAATTACTCGGACTAGTTTTGAATATATAACGAGTTTCAAATATTTTATTTTTTAATTTGACTCATCCCTTTTTTATTAAAGTTATCGCTCGACTCATCTAATTAAATGAATTGCGTTTCAATTTGCGTTCAAATCAAAACTTGATCTTTTGTTCATGTTTTAAACCATGTTTGTCCGGTTCAATATATATATAATGTTTTTAAAAAAAAAATTACATTGTAGGCTCGACTCTTTTATTGAATGAGTGTTAAAATTGCACACGAGCTCAATCTTGAGCGGAATGAATGAAATCAATGGTTAAGAGAAAATAAATTATAGAATTACAATAATTTGAAAATTGATTCCATTTGTTGAATATCAAATCGAGCATCAGGTTTGTTGACTTTGTGGGTAAAATCAACATCTCGACTAGCATTAAAACAGAAATTTTGGGTTTACACAAAGGATTGGAGATGCTAAACAAGACAGGGATTGAGAGGGTCATTGTAGAATCTGTCTCAGAGGAGGCCTGTCGCCACCTTCTCTCTCAAGATGATGAAAATCCTTAGAGAGTTCCGATGGACAATGACAGAGATCTGATGAATAGCCAAGGAATGGTGATGGTAGCCAGAGTAACCCAGTATCAGGAATTTGACCCTTTGATAGCTGAAGCTTTGACACAGTCACAGATGCCAGCAATCTGGGCACATCAAAGAAACTGGAACTATGCGACAATAGAGAGTGACTCTCAAACTGTGGTACATGTAGCAACTTTAGGCCATCTTACACCTCACTAGTGCATACTGCCAATTCAACAGGACCCACAAATTTAATGGTTCATATTAAGGTGGTGCACAAAGGTGGTGTTTGTAGTATTATTTAATCATAAAATAAAAAAGTCAATTCAATCTATGATTTCCGTCATTCTGAAAACTGAGGAGGATTAAATATATATGCTTAACTTTATCCCTAGTTACCGATAATGTATTACGGTGGTTCAAACGCATGATAAATAATTTAAAATTAAATAATCCAAAAGATAAACGACTTGTCAATTTAAACACAAAAATAGTTTTGTCTCCGCATTGATGAAATTTCAACACCAACAACAGAAAACAAATTCTGCAGTCACTTTATTTATTGCTCAGGATGGGAGATAATTTATTAACTAGACAATTATAAGATCTCAACATAAACAATGGCAATAATGATTGGGGGGAGCATGGTTGAATGCCTTGCAGTGGCCTCCCTTGGAGCAATTAGCATGGCACATTTCATCGCATTTACCATCATCGGTCCCTGGAACACAATTGCCAATGTGGTTGTCATAGCAGCACTTCACACTGTCTTCACCACTCGCTTCCTTCAAATCTGGAAAAAAAAAAACAAAAAACAATGCAAAATTATAAGAACACTACTCTAGGCTTCAAGAGTTATATGGTCTAAGGATTAAAATTTTATTTCGATGCATAGTTTAGATGAGCTTGAAAATGGAAATGTTTCGCTAATGTTTAATAAACAAGATGGAGACAAAGAATAAGTTGAAATTTTATTTCTGAAACATCGGTCGAAACATTCCAAAACATACATTGAAACATGCTGAAACACCTCGAAACATAAGAATTTTAATATTCAATTAATAATTCGTTTTGGTCTCTATGAAAACAGAAACATTTCAAACGTTTCGACCGTTTCAAAAACATCATCATTGTAAGCAAAAGAACCGCCCAATGGTGATATTCGCAGGTACAAACACTCAAACAAAAGCAAAAAGAGTGTTAGTTTTCTATATGGGATTGACTTCGGTAATGAAAGAGGTATGACACTTAAGTTTACCCTATTTTTTGGGTTGACTCATAACAAACAATTTTTAAATCTATCCTTTAAAAAAATATAACTTTTAGTGAAGTTACAATATTTTTGGTAATTTAGGTAGATCCTAACAATTTTATGATCAATATTAATTGTTGGAATCAATTCTAAAACATTGGGATTCATCAAAACACCCTAAAAAATCGTATCTTGATCCAAAAAAGAGTCTATAACTTAAACCTAAAAATAAGTATTTTATGGTATGGTGTATCGACAAAATATTTTTTCCGGCATCGTAAACTTATCGCTTCTTATATGTAGAATTTTGTCCAAATCAAATCACTTCCTAAACGACGAGAACTTCTTTTAGGAAGTCCAAAAACTACTGAAAATTGCTGGTTCGGTTTGCAAGCATTGGACTAATGCATGCAGTGCTAACTTATAAACTTTGAATATTTGCAATCACTAATAAAACTCACGAATTGGATAAACAAACATAGTCAAACTCAAGAGTTCTAGTAGGTAGTAACCCCAGAAGCCTGTCCATCCGAATCACACTAACGGGTTTCATCACGAACAACTACTTTGAATTGATGAAAAATAATAAAACAAACAGACTACAAACCCTAGTAAGCCGGGAGAACTTGAAACTTCGATATATATATTAACTGATAACAAGTCTTCCTATACATCCAACCTACTTTAATGTGCTTCATCTTTTACTAGCTTGAACCGAGGCATCAATGAAAAAAGAACAAACCTGTGCATAGCAGGAGCACCACAATGAGTAATAACGGCATTACACTCAGTTTTGCCATCTCTTTTCCTATGAGAAACTAACGAGGACGTCTATGGGAATGGGATGGTCCATGAGGAATATGTATTAGTATTTATAGAAGTGATCAAGATTTAATTTTGGTATTACCTTAATATATGGAATCATAATGCCAATATGCCTTCTTAATTTGTATTGGGTTTCTGTAATTTTGCTGTTTTGCAGAATTTTTTTTTTTTTTTTTTGCCACTACCACTGTGAGAGTGGTTGAATTGAAGTTCTTTTAAAATAGGAAAGAAAATCAACTGACTTGATGAAATAGGAAAGTCATTAACGTTGTTATGAATTAGAAAACGTGGCTCCAAATCTACCTAGATCCCACAACCAATTAAGAATGGCCCGTGGCTGCCCGAGATATTTAGGGGTCCAAAATGGAAACAATGAGTATTTTTAATTTTTTAAAAAATAAAAATATTAATTAAATTTTTATATTCAAGATTTTGTTACCATATTTGAACTTGATGGTGAGAGAGAGAGGGAGAGGGAGAGGGATAGAGAATGATTGAAAAATTATTATGGTAAGTTTGAACTTGAATTGTTTTGGGAGGTTAAAACTTAGATTTTTCTATAACTTTAGTTTTATTACTGTTAATTTTTTTATTTTTTAAAAATAATTGAATTTTAGGGTTTTTTAATTTCATTCACTAAATTAATAAGTCTAATCTACTCAAGTTAAAATATTTTATTTGGTTTAAATCTAAATCTTTTACTGATGTATCTCTTTAGTATCACTCTTCCATGGTGTAGTTTTACGAAATGAGTGGGGTCAAATGGTACTAGCTGGATCATGCGACTATGGAGCCTGCTCGAATATGGAAGCTGAAATCCTAGCCCTATTGGATGGCCTTCTTCTTGTACAGGATTACGGATTGGTGGTTTACCCTTTAATCATAAAAACAGACTCTCAAGTTCTTGTGGATTTGATCAAGCAACGGTCTAAATTATCTTGGGAATTTTGGGCTCTCTTTCGTAAGATTTTTTCTATTCTCCATGGCCAACCAAGGAGGAGTCTGTAACAATGCTTCTCACACTCATACTTTCCCTCTCACTCTCACTCTCAATCTACATATGAGACAACTTTTACAGCGAGATCAGCGACAAATTAAATCGCTGCAGTCTAAGATTAAAGTTCTCTGATAGATGCTCTGTTTTAGATTTTATGATGCAGCATACAAATAAGCAGTTCAGGCTCTATGACATAACAAGGATTCGCAGAAACAGATCAAAGATATGCTACAGAATTAAAGCACATTCATCAAAAACACAAAACAGTCCGTTTATACAAATAAGCTGTCCAGAGTTTACATGCCGATTACTATTCGAATATGTGGTCTACGTTTTCCAGAAACAAAGGGAATATGATGGTCACCTGTTTGTCTTCTCCTCATCCACAGGATCAATGTCAAGGCCTTCGGTATTCTGGGGACAGCATCTCACTTGGTTTTGTCTTCACTGCTTACTTTCTCTTTTCTCCCTCAGAATATTTCTTCCCTTCGTATGTGCAGAGTCTGTGGATTATCTGCTGGCTCCCTCTCGCTGGATATTCATCTTATGCATCGTCAAAACGAAGAGGCATTTTGCTCTGCAGCATTTTATTGAACTCCATGGCTGGATATTCATCTTCTCCGCTGAAGCTTTGTGGTTCTTGGACATCCTTCTCTTGACTATTGTAGTCTTTCAGAGTGTTTTGCAGGTTCCCAGGAGGCTTTTAGTCATACAAAGGGTTATCATCTGTCATGCAGCCGTCTTATCTGTAACCCAGCCGCCTTATCAATTGGATCTCCTAGGTGCAGCTGGCTTATCTCTAATAGCTTATCGAATCCTAATAAGGCCATTCAGTTGCCTTATTCGATAAGCCCCTCCACTTCTCATGGCCCAGCCCCTAAGACCCCCCAGCTTAAGACAACTAATATTTGCAGTTCATCAGCTGCTTTTCCCGGTTGGTCTCATCTCTCAGCTAATGGTCGCAGCTCCTTTAAAGCAATGTATCCAGCTTAGGACAGCTGTTTCTTGCAGCTCATTCAGCTGCTTTTCTCAGCTGGCCTCCATCTCTCAACTTTTGCTCGCAGCCCATTTAAAGCACTGTTTACTTTTCTAGACAGCCACTTTTTTTGGATGCTGCAGTTGGAATCCTTTCATTTTCAGCTCTTCCGGCTCCACAATTGCTTTTGACAGTTAGGATATTATGCTTTCTTGATCATTTTGACAGTTAGAATGCCAACTTTGGATCAAGAAAAAGAGAGAATAATGGAAGATAGAGTGAAAGATTAATTATGAGAGAAAATAGAGAGGGAGAGTAATGGTCTGTTTGTTTTGATGGAAAATGGGGTGGATGGAAAAACTTTCCATTGTTCGGTATAGAAAGAAAGAGTGATGGAAAGAAAAATTAGAAGGAAGGCTTTTCTTTCCCGCCCACAATTTATTTTCCCACAAAAAATGCGCGGAAAATGAGAAGAAGCCAATAAAATTTGACCTTTGAATGATAATTTTATTTTTTTGCCCTTTTTTCTTTTGCTAATAATTTTTTTACTAACACACAAGAAACATACAAAATGACTCCATATATTTAAAAGGTAGAATTGTAAAATTAGGTATGTATAATTTTCCTTTCCTTTCATTTTTCATCTTTCTTATTAAACAAAAAGGAGGAAAAATAATTTTTTTTCCTTCATGGATAAAAAGTTTATTCCTTCCACTTTTTCTTCCTTCTTACTTTCCATTCTTCGTACTAAACGGACCATAAGAGAAGAGTGAGAGAAAAGAGGGAGAGCCTATAGCTCAAACTTTATTGACCTAATTATTGGGAAACTACCGCTGCCGTTGCAATACATGAAAGAAAATTCAACCAAATGATACACAACAAATATACATGTTAGAGAAAAATAATGAAGACGTGATAACTAGATACTTAATAGTAGCATGTTTGCTTGTGGAACTAAAGTTCGTAACATCATATCCCTCAAATTAATATATCTATTGAATATTAATATTATTTATCATACGATTAACATGTTAGACGATTGAGTAATGTCATTGAAATTTAAAAAAATAATCTAATTTATTGATTTAATGATGTAACAGTAATGTGGTTCAATAGTGTTATTGTGACGTTAACTTTTGAACTTCTTTATTGAGACTCTATCAATAGATTAGATCAATTTTTTAGGTTCTAATAACATTACTCTAAATTATTTCTGCTGATGCGTAAATTAGAGAATAGTGAGTAGCGAGAGCTTTGTGTGAAGTGTATGAATTGTGTGTGATTTTTGGTAGAAGCACCTTACCCACTTGTTTAAAATTATGAACATTACTACATTATAGTTATGTATCAAAGTGAAGTAATTGAAGTCATTAACGGAATTAAAAAATTATCATAATACTCTTATTTTAAAATCGAACTTTGCGTCTGATTTATCCTTGACCATAAACCTAATGGAACATGACAACAAACCAACACAATTTAATCAAACATATCGAGTCTCTATTTCTCTCAAGTGAGGTTTTGATTTGGATTTGAAAATCACTTATGGTTATTTTACATATTTTTTGATCTGGGACCGATGCCCTACCAGTTTTGTGTATTATACTATATATTATAAAGAGTATTTTAGACACTTACACAATATTTTTTGAAGGCAAACAAACCCCACGATATATTTTGGGCATGTGGAGCACACTTTTCGTTGACTTGATACATAAGTACAAGAGGGTAATGTGCATAATTTTAAACGTCAAATAAATAATGTGGTTCAAACCGAAATTTAAAAAATAATAACCCTTAATTTTATCCTTATTTACCGATAATTTATTTTGGTGACTCGAAGACATGACAAATGATTCAAAACGGAACAATCTAAAAAGATAAACGACTAATCAATTTAAGCACAAAATAGTTTTCTCTTCGCGTTGATGAAATTTCAACACCAACAACAGAAAACAAATTCTTTATATATTGCTGAGGGGATGAGAGATAATTAATTAACAAGGCAATTATAAGATCTCAACATAAACAGTGGCAATAATAACTGGGGGGAGCATGGTTGAATGCCTTGCAGTGGCCTCCCTTGGAGCAATTAGCATGGCACATTTCATAGCAGCATTTCACACTGTCTTCATCACTCGCTTCCTTCAAATCCGAATTTAAAAAAATAAAAAAAGATGCAAATGTGCCATGCTTCAACTCCTACTTTAGTAGTAGTAGCAGCATAGTCAAGACCCACAAAAATATAGGTAATACCCGCGTTAGTGACTTTGAGATATCGTCTTTATTCTTTATAACACGGTGATTCTCAATATTTATCACATTTTTCAAATTTGAAAGACTAGTTTAACCAATTATACCTTTGTAAATTTGAAATAATTTTTTGCTCAATCATTAGTAATGAACGCAGAAAATCAAACCTTCTTGAGTAATGAAATCCACTGAATTTTTAGGTGTCATACTTTTATTTATCATATTTTTGGTCATTTTTAATATATTTGTGCCTATTTTTTTCACTGTTATGATACCCAAAAAAATAGTAAAAATAATTAGCACAACAGTGATAAAAACACCAACAAATGTGGTAAATTGCCCACAAAAATGAAAAAAAAATTGTACCAAAAAAAAGTGATAAAAATAATTATCACAAATATGGTAAAAACAACTATAACAGTGGTAAAAACACTTATATCCATGGGGTCGCTTTGACATTCTACTATTTTGTGTACCTTTTGAATGGAAGTCTTTAGAACGTTGTCCCAGATTTTAAATGAAAAAAAAAAAGGCCTGGGAGGACGTTGCAAATGTCCAAGGATGGGCACGGACCAATGGAATACACTTCATTGCAACTGTTATACCATGTCAACATTATCACATGGTATATAGACAAATAAAAAAGTAAACTCTGCACAAGTCAATAACTACACGTCCATATAAACAGAAAATTACTCGCTCTTCTTTCATGTAAATCAATAACTACTCTAGTGAAATTTACTATACCCATTTAAAATTTTATTATTAATTATTAATTAGTAATATCATATCATTAATATTTACATGATAAGCCCATTGTATTAAATATTCTCTCCTAGACCAGAGCATGTCATGGAAGAAGCCTGTCTTGCTCCGAGAAAATCATGGTAATAGATTAGGATGCTGTGAAATTCACATTTATTTGTAACTTCTGAGCATTATTAACCCGCATGAGTCGGAGAACACCCCTTCTTTTTACCTTCAAACAATCGTCTCAAATCTTTCTTCGTAATCTATCTACCTGTTTTTGCTAGAAGCCTTAACCTGCTAGCTTAATCCGAGCTTCGTCTCTCCTATAAAGCTTTCCCTTCATTCATTCCCAGAGTCAACTGGTTGAGACTTACATAAAGAGACTAAAACAATAGAAATGCTTCCGTTAACTTTTTCATCACGATTACCGTCTTTTACAGATCAGAAAAGTGCAGTTGCGCTTGTTGGTGTCCAGCAAATATGACAATGACCATGTCATGAGAACGCCATCCTTGAAAATGAATGGTACTGCCGAGGATGATTATGCTGATGACTACAAAATACAAGGATTCATATACTAGCAGATCAGGAATGGCAAGACAAGAACATTCAACATAGGCAAAAAGACCATCACATTCAGCAACCCAGATAAACATGATGCAAAACACAACTATACCGACCATGAGAATGTGAGATCATGCATCTCCAGATTGGAGTTGTACTAACACAGCAAATAAAAATCCAAACTTGAGGAAATTTAAAATTATATCGTCAATGCAGTCTACTCTGTCAGTAACACGCAATAGTTCTCATTCTACTAAACATGCAAAAATTGAAGCAACAGTCTAGCACAAAAAGGAGGACGTAAACAGCAGTGTTCACTCATCATCATCTTCCTCATCCTCATCATCATTTCCTGCAGCAGAGTTGAGAGCATTTAACCTCTCGATCAGCCGAGCCTTCCTTTGCTCATAAGTCAGCTTCTTTAGGTTATGCCTGCAGCAGAGGATAAAGAAATACAGATAAAGACCATCATATCATGAACGTAAAATTCAAAACCATACAAAGTATATAGCCAATCAAAGCAACAAATAATGGGGAAGCATTTGGACAATCAGAAATCTTTGTTTTTTTCTTTTGCCCAAACGAACTTGGTTCCAATTAGCTAAATTTGAGGCCAGACGCTGCAAAAATGAAACTCGTGCATGTCATCTAAGTAAACACTATATTCGCAAGTGCACATTTAACTTCTTGGTTTGGAAAAGCACATCCAAGGGGGCAGCATTGTCAAAATCAATGAAGAAGTCTCAAACAATCCAACTAAACCATCCATGTTAAAACAGACAGTCTGAAAGAAGCATGAAAGCAGCACAACTCATCCAAAGAGCAGCCTTAGAACATACATTATGTTGTGACATCAATAATGTGTAAGGTTTAAGCATAACTAGCAAGCATTTTTTCTCAGTTTAACAATCCCACCCCACAAAACAAAACACACACACACAGCTGTTAACATATAGCTCATGAGGACAAGAAACATACTGAGATTACACCATATACTGGTGTGCATACTTGAACAAATAATAACAGTTTAGAATTTGGCCTTACCTCTTGTGCTCCTTTGGAGGCTTCTCAGACTTCTTTGGATTGGGGTCAGCTCTTATGGCTGCATGGACCTTCTGGTACATCTCCTCAAGGCCATCTGCCTCAAGACCCTTCTTAATGTACTGGCTAAAATGGGACTGGTATTTCTCAGGCTCATCTTCCATCAAAGTCTGTAGTCAAACAAAGAAAATTTAGCAAGTGCGAGCATGACAAAGAGTTTGTGTGCATGTTTCTTTTTTTCCCTATTTTTAATAGAAAGAAAGAGGGAAAGAAGGGGGGGGAGGGGGGGACCAATACAGGGAGATTTCACATATTATTTATAATCAACGAATATTTACAGTGTTCATCAACACTAGAATCCACACACAATTCAAGACTCACTCTCATGTATGCAGCAACATGGCCTCCATAGATGTACTTGTGATGGACCTCAGCATCAAGTTGCTTGCTCTCTTTGCCAAATCCAGCAAACCTCTTATCACTGTGAGGAATGTCAAGTCCACCATCCAATGCTCCCTTAAATCAAGAAGCAAATAGATGTTGACCTATGAAAATACTTTTAAAAACCAAAGTAGAAGAGTTCTTTATGGCCAGAAGAAAACAAGAGCAATAAATGCCTAAAGCTCATATCAGCGATGCATATTCTTCAACATCATGAAGTGATTACTTGACGGAATACCCCAACCTCCACCTGTCCACAAATTCATAAAGACTGGAGTGCCATAGAGCATAAACAAGAAGACTTTCAGCAAGGTTCCAAACTACTGGCATTTACAACCCAACCAGCAATTGGGAAACAAATCCAATATACTATTGCTTGAATTCACAGGTTGCAAGTAGATGAAGGGGAAGGAGTTGGTTTCACAATCAATTCAACCAACAATCAATGAGGTGATCACAACACTCAACTAGAACTGACACTAAGACCCATAGGAATAAGTCTCTTTTTGCAATGATTTTCCCAACTTCCAGTAACCCAAAAGGGTTTGCAAATTTTTTGGCGAGCCTAATTGCCACTAGTACAACATTAATTGTAGGTTAGCATCTAGAACAAACCAAGGATACTTGAACATCTTCCACTCCTAAGCTTCCTCCCAATGAAGGTAATTCAGTGATTTCTTCGGAGCTGTTCATCAGATTTCATACGGCCTACCTCAAAATATAGGTATTCTAATCTTTTGCTTGTACACTAATTCCTTTTTAGTATAGCTGCTGGATGCACTTCCTTAATCTTGCATGATACTTCAAATATTACTTCTTTTTTTATAAGAAACAAAACTGTCATTTCATTGAAAGATATAAAAGTACATAATTAATGGAAAAGAAGTCCACCAAAAAGGAACAAAAAACAAAGCCAGAAAACAGCCACTATGAGCTAAAAAAGGCTTTCCAATTATGTTGGAGAACTAACAGAGAAATGTCAAGAAAATCATTGATAACCACAGCCCATAAAGATGCCAAAAACTTCAAATATTACTTCTCATAAGAAAACCTTCATTCAGAAGAATATTGCTTTAAAATTTTTAGTTCCTCAAACATTGGACTGGAAAATTGCTATCCACCCTCCCATGCAAAAGTTGATAAACATGAATATAAACAAAGGCGGCTTCATCCAAAACTCTCAATGCATGAGCAAAACCAATTCCTTCACTCTCAACACATACCCATTTCCTCTAAGGGCACTGTCGGCAAACATGAATATAAACAGAAATCCACACACACCTCAAAATTCATCTATATCCATAACAAAAGCAAATGGTAAAACTATGCAGGCTTCAGTACAAAAAAATAGTCGACCGCAACCATTTTACCTAACAAACAATATTGAAACGATACTTAAAGTGGATGAAAAACTTGTAAGAAAAATGCAAGATCCATTTGGTTAATTATGTATGGTCCTTAACTATCAAAACACCTTTAAGAGAAAGGTTAGAGAGATACCTTGAGGGCACCAAAAACACGATTGCCGGTAGTTGTTCGTACAAGGCCAACATCCAGGAGAGCTCGGAAAGGCCTCCTGCTTTCAGTTGGTTCAACAGAGAAATCCTCCCCAGTAGCCTGCAAGGATAGTGCTTGGCGTGAATGAATTGATCCACCACAACATAGTAAAAATTAAAATGCACCAATTAACCCAAGGAATGCCATTTACCTCAACATTCCCCTGATACTCCTCATCCATCTCAAGCATTTTCAGTACTCGGCGAGCCAAGAGAAGGCCAGTACAATAAGCTGGGTCACAGTAGTGATAGTAATTTCATATCCATTTATAGGATTTGACCAAGAAATTAAAATATTTGATGTGGGCACATAGATACCTGCAGCATAATTTGTGAGGCCAACTTCAAGCCCATAATGAGGAAGTTCATGGGCATAAGCAGCTGCAAGAACCATATCACCAGCAATGCTAGCAGATGTAATTTGTGCAATTATATCCTTGTTAGTCTAGGTGTAGAGTCAAGGTAAATTTACCAGTAAGAAAGGAATAATGATGCTTATTTTGCATAGTAAAGAAATACCACCTCAACTAAGGTCATCTTTTGAGATATGAGTTTAATTTGGGAGTCCAGTTAATTGCTCAAGTGGCATACCATGGCATCCACTACTTCTCACCGGTCACCACAATCACAAAATTTGACATAAGATACCCACACACCTATTCATCAAGCAAAATTTCTATTACGATTACATGAGACCAAAAAGACAACTTAATGTTCTTAGGCTTATCAAACCCACCCGGCAAGGCAGGTGGGTAAGACGCATAACTCTGTTGCATATGTTTTAAAAGTATCAAATAATAATGACAACAATGATGGCGATGACGGTAACGATAACAACAATATCAGGTAATTGGACAATTAACAGCAAAAGCACAAAGCATGTCCTAAATTACTTCAAATGAAGGGGAAAAAACTTTCAAACCCCCAAGCTTTATACTTCTAGAAATATCAAAAATGCAAAATTCAGACAATCCTAAGATTCATTCTTCTCTGCGACTCATTCTGGTGTTGAAATGTGTCAATCTAATCATATCAAACACTCCACACAGTCAACAATAATACAATAATACAAGCAGCAAAATCGTGGATCAAAGAGGTCGAACCAAAGATTAGAAAATAGAAACTACGAGTGGATACAAATCGCACGACAAATCGATATTTGGGAGTGTTGTACTTGTTCTTGTCCTGATTAATCAAACGAATCCTGGCCCGATAGTCTGTCTTACCCTCTGCACAAATGAAAGAGAAAACAATATAAATCAGCGGAAAGTTATTGAGCACAGTAGTAAAGGGCCAGCATGAAAATCATACGTCTCCTTCTCTTGAATTTGACTTGGAAACGCTTGAAGTAAGCCCTTGACTTTTGAGCTTTGATGAAGGCCTGTAAGAAGATCAAACAACGGTATAAGTCCATGATCAAATAACTTACCAATCATAAGTGAATGACTCACCATTTCTTCAACAAACGTCACTGACACTTGCTATACAACCTAAAAATACTAATAATTAATCGATTTTTACCGATTTTCAAAAGCAGGAGAACGAACTTGTGGTTTCCCTTACTGAGAAACCAAAACTGTATTGTTTCCTGTATCGCACAGAATTACAAACACTGACGTAGAGATACTTGAGCCATGAGGTGGAAAGTGAATTCCATGTATATATATACACGTAAAATCAACTCAGATCTGTGGTTATATTCATATAACAAGACACATAAACGCAAAAAATAAATGAAAATGGTTAGGTTTTTGAGTCTCACCATAGCCGCAGCTCGTTGTGCGAGAACGAGAGGGAGAGGGAGAGGGATTGGGAGAGGGCGACAGAGAAGTGCTGCTGAAGGCGCTCAAATACTAAAACCCTAGTGTGCAGAGGGGACAGAAATCTACGGTCAGGAGTGCGTTTCATTTACTTCTTGTGCTAGGGTTATGTTGAGGGCCTCGCTGCCAGAGATTTGGGCTTTTATTGAAACGGTACATTCATTATGTGGGCCTTTAATGGCCCGGTTGTTATGGCCCAGACCTGAGCATAATAGCTTATCACTGATTTTATTCTATTTCTTTTGGTTCTTTGGTAATAAAATCATTTATGGCCTTTTTGGTAAGAGTAAAAAAGAAAATGTTAAATCAACTTAAAATATTGAATTGATTTGTTAAGTTGATCAATCACAAATATTATTTGAGAGTGGGTCCCAATAAATATTGAGAATCACTGTTAAATCAATGATAATAATTGATTAAGTTAGTATTTTAAATTCACGTAATATTGTTCGAATAAAAATAGATGAATAGAAAGTAGTTGATGGATAGTAAGATAAAAAAATGTAATTTGTTTCTGTTTGGTTATAAAGAAAATATGAAAGAAAATAAAAAATAGATGGAAAAACAATCTCTCTCGCACACCAAATTTAATCCCTTAAAAAACAAGCAAAAAATAACCAAAAAAGTATTTGAGATGGGGTATACATCTTTCTAATTAATGTCTAATTACCATTTACACCTTTCAACATAATGTATCTTGCCAATAATATATTATATTCTATTAGGGGTGTTTTGGGAATTTTAATAGCAATAATGTTCCTTTATTTTTTTTTTCTTACCAAATAAAATAAAAAATATATATTTCTTTCACGTTTCCATCTCTGTTACAAGAAAAAAAAATTGATTAGTTGTAATAAATTCAAGCATAAAAAAAATTATTTTTTTAATTATTTTTCATTTCATGCTAACCAAACACATAAAAATTTTAAAAAATTTCTCTTTCTTGTATTTTTTACCATTCTCCGGCTAAACAAACCGACCCTAAGAGCATCTCTAATTCTTACTCTTTTTCAAATCCAAATTTAAATTGAGGTAAAAAAAACTCTTAAAAATCTTACCCAATACTAAATCCAATACTATATCAAATGAATAGAAACTACTTTTTTTACTCAAATTAAAAGATATTCAAATTCATACTCAAATATTTAATAATAAGATTTTGTCCTACTTTAAATATCTAATGGACATATTTATTCTCTTTTAAATTTATATTTATTCTCATTTAAATTTGGATTTGTTCTTATTTAAATTTGAGTTTATTTTCTTTTAAATTTGAATTTTTCCATTGAAGATGTCTATACCGAATTAAGTTTTTTATTAAAATTTGGATAAATATTTAAATCTCAATTGGGGAAGATCTAACAAAATGTGGTGCCGCACGTGCTACACTTTGAAAACACTGAAAAGCACCAACTTTGGTAATCGCCCCTTTGTGTTTTTTATTTTATTTTATTTATTTTATTGTTTGAAAAAAAAACAATAACATGTTTATTTAATCTATACTGTTTTGAAAACAAGGTCCAAAAGTATAAACACCGAAAATAATGTTTTTGAAAACATTCAAAACTAAAAACACGTGCGTGCATCCCATTATTAATTAATGAGGTTTAGTTTTTGAATCTCATTAGCGTCAAAATGAGGTTTTTTTTAGTAGCAACTATAAAACCCCTTTTTTCTTCTCTTTTTTTCCTATCTCTTTCTCTCATCCGTCTCTCTCTCTCTCGATGCTTCTTCTAAAACTCACTGTCACAAAGATGAAGACAAAATCAAACACGAAGACAAAGACAAAATATGTATATATATACACATAGATCTATGTGTATATATATGTGTGTGTGTGTGTGTGTATATATAGGCATAGATCTAAATATATGTTGTTATATATTCATAAATCTACGTGTGTGTGTTTATTTGTGTTTTTGTGTGTGTATGTGTGCTATATATATGGATCTATGTGTATATATATGTGTGTGTGCCTCTATGTAATCTGTGTATGTCGGTGTGTGATTTATGGAATTATGTGTGTAATTGCGACTATATATGTGTATCTGTGTGTCCCAGCAAGAATTTCTCCAATTGGGACATTATTTGGAATTCAAATATTAATCAAAATAACAGCAATAAAATATTATCTAAAATATATAATACCAAACACATTTTTAATTTTTATTTTTATAAATTTTAAAATATAAATGAATACCAAACAACTTTTATATTTTTAATTTTTATCACAAAAAACAAAAATTAGTTCTTTTTTTTTATAAAAAAAAAAACATAAAAATAAAAAACGTTACCAACTACACCATTAATTACATAATAATGTAAGCATAAAAGCAATATACTTGGAGAACATGCCTTAGTGTAGTGCAACGGTAAAATTATTTTACTAATTTGGACGTTAAGGCTTAAGATATATAAATAGTTTTCTTATATAATAAAATAAGGTTTTGTTTGGTTTGTGTTTCAATAAATAATATTTGAAAATTATTTATGGAAAGAGTTTTAGAAAATTATTTTTAATATTTTTTATGTCGCATAACTTGTTTAATTATATAATTCAAAAAATCAGTTATATCGAAATAAAAAACATTAAAATGTGTTTTGGACAATAGCCCATAAAATAATGAAAATAAAAATGTGGTGTTAATGGTTTGGTGGACATGGTGATGGTGTTAGTGGTGGAAGTGTTGCGGTCTTGGGGTGGATGTTGTGGTTGTGGTGGTGGTAGGATTATGGTGGTGTTGATGGTGATATTTTTTAAATTTTGAAAAGATTGTTTACAAAAATACATAAAATAGTTTTAACTTGTTCTCTAAATCTGTCTAAATTTTTTTATTATTTTTCAATAAATAAAAATAAAAAACAATTGTCCAAACAACTTTTATTTCAAAAACTGTTCAACGTATTGTTAAATAATTTCTAAAATGCAAACCAAACATAACTTAAATTGTGTAGATCTAATTATCTTAAGACATCATAATAACAAAAGTTTCATACATTGGAACACATTCTTTATAAAAATAAATTAAAAATAAATTGCTAATATCAATTAGAACATGAGGATGTATTTGGCTTGGTTTTCAAAAATAATTTTTTGTTCTCAAAATTGTAAAAATAAGGAAGATGTTGTTTGTTTAGTTTTTTTGTTCTCCCATTTTTTGATATTTTTGGGAAATGAGATGTGATTTTAGAGAACAATAAAATAATATTTTCTAAATTTTCAAGCTAAATAGAAAACAAGAGAAACAACTTCTCCTATTTAAGAAAGTCTACCCATCAAACTTCCTTAACAACAAAATGCATTTTTTTATTGAAGTATCAAGCCCTTCACTTCCACAACGCTGTAACGATTTAGGTTCATTTTTTTTTCTCCATCTCCCCTATCTGTTTCTTTGCAACAATTTGGGTTTAAGATGTTGTGCAATGATCTCTCCACTTCGACAAATCCTAACAATCTGGGTTCAAGAACTCTGGAGTCTTCTTCGGTCTCTGTCTGTGTGCTCAGTCTGCGGCTTCTCTGTCTCTGTCTCTCTCTCAATGACGTTGTGTAGATCTAAAGCACAGATTTGGGTTCAAGACACACACACACACGATCTGTGTGTGTGTGCGGGGTGCGTGGGTTTTGTGAAGGCAGAAAGAGGGGAAAAAAAAGATATAAATGGAAATTATGGGATTTGTGGATTATTGTCCAAATAGATTTTATAATTTTTTGTAATTTAAAACTATTTTCAAAAATATATAACTAAATAGATTTTACAATCTAAAAATTTTTTTAAAAATTTTTTCTTAAATTTTTTTTTCAAAAACTATTATCAAATACTTTTTTTTCAAGATACAAACCAAACAGGTCCCTAAAATTTTTAGTTATTTATTTTTGTTTTTGTTCCTAAAAAATTTGATATATATATAATATAAAATAGAGCAGATTTTAATAAATTTATTTGACGATTTCAAATAGATTCATCAAACAACACTAACATATCTCTTAAAATTATTTACATTAAAATTTTTTTCTCTTATTTTTTATTTTATTTTTTTTTTTTTTTTTTTTTTTTTTTTATATTTTTTTTTTTTAAGAGAAAAAAATTTTAATGTAAATAATTTTAAGAGATATGTTAGTGGTTGTTTGATGAATCTATTTGAAATCGTCAAATAAATTTATTAAAATCTGCTCTATTTTATATTATATATATATCAATTTTTTAGGAACAAAAACAAAAATAAATAACTAAAAATTTTAGGGACCTGTTTGGTTTGTATCTTGAAAAAAAGTATTTGATAATAGTTTTTGAAAAAAAATTTAAGAAAAAAATTTTTAAAAAATTTTTTAGATTGTAAAATCTATTTAGTTATATATTTTTGAAAATAGTTTTAAATTACAAAAAATTATAAAATCTATTTGGACAATAATCCACAAATCCCATAATTTCCATTTATATCTTTTTTTTTCCCTCTTTCTGCCTTCACAAAACCCACGCACCCCGCACACACACACAGATCGTGTGTGTGTGTGTCTTGAACCCAAATCTGTGCTTTAGATCTACACAACGTCATTGAGAGAGAGACAGAGACAGAGAAGCCGCAGACTGAGCACACAGACAGAGACCGAAGAAGACTCCAGAGTTCTTGAACCCAGATTGTTAGGATTTGTCGAAGTGGAGAGATCATTGCACAACATCTTAAACCCAAATTGTTGCAAAGAAACAGATAGGGGAGATGGAGAAAAAAAAATGAACCTAAATCGTTACAGCGTTGTGGAAGTGAAGGGCTTGATACTTCAATAAAAAAATGCATTTTGTTGTTAAGGAAGTTTGATGGGTAGACCTTCTTAAATAGGAGAAGTTGTTTCTCTTGTTTTCTATTTAGCTTGAAAATTTAGAAAATATTATTTTATTGTTTCTCTAAAATCACATCTCATTTCCCAAAAATATCAAAAAATGGGAGAACAAAAAAACTAAACAAACAACATCTTCCTTATTTTTACAATTTTGAGAACAAAAAATTATTTTTGAAAACCAAGCCAAATACATCCTCATGTTCTAATTGATATTAGCAATTTATTTTTAATTTATTTTTATAAAGAATGTGTTCCAATGTATGAAACTTTTGTTATTATG